CAGAAGGTGGGGGGGGGGGGGGGGGAACGACGACAAAAGTATTTCCTAGTCCAGATATTTTCCCCCCTATTCAGGGATCTTGGACTTGATGGCCTTAGAGGCCCCTTCCAACGTCGCTATTCTATGCTTCTGTGATCACACAGATACTTTTATCCCCATCCCCTACCCCCTCACTGCAATGGACCCCATTTTCTGGTTGCCGGGGAAGACCACTGTCATGGCTTCAGACTAGAACAGGACAGGGGCTTGCTAACAAGTCCTGACTTGTGGACACAAACAGGATTTAAATGAAGGAGAAGGATGATGACGAATGGCTGCCCACGGCAGGTCTGGGAACCGGAGGACACCCGGTGCCACCTGGAGGCTTCTTTTCACAGGGAGAAGCAAAGGGACGCCCCCAGGGCCCTGAAACACCGGAGCAAAAAGCTAATTCTCTCCCCCTCCAGAGAGGTGAGATCTGAGATTTCCATTCCTGCCGCAAACGGGGAAGCGTCGCCCCGGCTCAGACGGCGCTCTGGAGGATCAAAGCCTTTTGTACTTGCCACGTGGTCGGATGCCCTGCTACAATTACGTTCCCAATATGATTACCGCGAAGCGACAGGCAGGTTTCTTAACAACTAATCCTCTGCTGACACACTTCAGATGTCAGAAAAGGAGGCGCTGCAAAAGACCTGCACCGCATCCCAGCGTTTCCTTCGCCCGCCCTCAACAAGGCCCAGCCGTCTCCCTCTAAGTACGGCAAAGGCCTCTGGCTAAACCAAATGGCTGGGGCGACACGCATCTGTGTAATCCTCCCAGCGCCCATTGTTGGCAGCCGGAAAGGAACAGGCCACCTTCCTCCAACCCCTGGGTCCTTATTGGCCCCCCAAGCAGGCTCAGAAGACCCAAGGCTTGGGCGTTCAAGGGGTCCTTCCCAGTGGCCTTTAACCCTCGCCAGATGCTCACGAGAGCCCTGAGGCTCTTGGCAGGCAGGGGGGGTCCCTTGGGAGCTCAATGGACAAAGGGTGTTCCCAGCTTTCCTGCCTTGCGTAAGGGCCACGCCAGGGTGGACCGATTCGGCCCCCGAGGCTCCATGCACCAACCCTCTAGGGCGTCTCTTGGTCCCCACCCAGCTACATCCCCACACTCCCCCACTGACTTATTTAAAGGATTGACTCTGACATCGGTTCAACCCTCAGCTGCTTCCCAACAGGAACTTCACTTGCCACATAAGGAAACCATGGGGGGGGGGGTTTGCGTCTCCCATCCTGGCCAAATTGCTGGCGGGAAAGCAGGGCCCTGCTGGCCTTCGTGGCCCGGGCTCCATGGATGCAGTTTGGGCGCGGGGCAGGTGGGAGGGTGCTCACCATGGTCTGGAAGCATGAGTGGAGCTGCGTGAGGAAAGGGGGCTTCCCGGAGAGAGCAAGGACCCGCTTCTCCACCATGGTGCACTCCACATCGTCGTCCTGGATGACCACGTCCTTCTTCAGAATCTTCACCGCGTAGAGTTCGTCGGTGCCTTTCCGCTCCGAGAGCATCACCTGAAGGGAAGGAAAGGGAGGGACCCGTAGGGTGAGCATCCGAGGTGGGGTGGGGGGACTCCCGGCACTTGACCCATCTAGGACTGAACATTCTCCATACCTGGCCCTGCCTGGCCCCCTCGCCATCCTGTGAGAGGGAAACGGGATGGACTGGGATGAGTTCATGCCTGTAGGTGCACAGGGCAGAGGCCTAGGGACAGTCCCCCACCCCACCCCCTAGTTTTGTCCAATAGTTCAGTATGACAGCCTGTGGAATGGAAAATTTATACCCCTCGAGGTCATGAATGCCACGTCACCAGCTTGGTGGAAACCCCAAGAACAGGGGGGGAAAACACACACACATATACACACACACCTGCACATCACATTCTGTATTTATAGATCTGCTGTTCTAAGAGTGGCTTATTTTATCAAGAGGATCCCACACCCGGGTGCGAAAGAGCCCAGGGCAGGTAAATACCTGGACTTCACCACACTGGGGAACAGGAGAGGACAACAGCTACTGGGAAGTTGCATACACCAGTCGACGCCTACAGATGCAACCTTAGAAGAGATATGTGTAGTTTAAGCTGAAGTGTGACAGGTTTCATTCTGGTGGGGGGAGAGGACACCCCAGGGACCTGCCTGTCTCCAGATGAGCTCCTACCACGTGTGTCTCCCAGGCAAGTTCGCGTCTCTTCCTCATACATGTCTCCCTCTGGCAACACAACATGGACGGGATGCTTTCAAAAAAGAGGGCTGTCACCTGGCGTTCCTTCAATAGAAGGACGGCTTTGCCTTTAAAAAAAGATAAAGGACATTCGGCCCAGCAGGGCAGGGGCGCTCAACATTGGCCAGAGATGAGAGGGTCCAATCCAGGTAGCTAACTCTGATGCTGCTCCCTGGCTCCATCCGTTTGGTAGCCATGGCACCTCCAGCCAACTCCCCCACCCCCTTTCTTCTGCGAATAACTTGTTCCTCCTCACATCCTTCAAACCAACGGTGTGGCGAGCTGCAGATTTATTCATTACAATACGCTGGAGCTGCAGAGCTTCCTGCCAGCATAATTTTCTGCCATTAATCAAATCAAGCCCAAGGAAGCTGCCTGAAATGCAGGAACGCTGCCCTCCCAATTATTAAGATATATTGCTGCAGCCTGGTGGGGGCATTATTTCCGAAATAAACACTATTTCCACCAGTAGAAGCTCACTTCCTCCATCAACAGGATCCTGAGAAATGAATTATTTCACCCCTGCCCAGAACTGATCTCTCGGAGCGAAGGAAGTTCCTACGATCTTTTAGACCAAGGGCTTGTTGATTTTTTTCTCAAGCCTCCCAGAAGCCTCCTGAATTTTTTTTTAAAAAGAATCTTTCAAGGTGGGAGGCTAAATCTGATGTTTACTTCCAATAGGATTTATACTGGGAGCCCTTCAAGGACATGCTAATTTAAGCAGGAAACATTTACGTACCATCCCGTCCACCAACCTCAGTGTTTCTCTTCCTTTACCTCCAGTGTTTATTTATCAAGAGGATACAGCTTTTTTTTAATTAAGAGGCTTAAGATGTAAAGTTACTTAAAGAGGCTTAACTTTAAAAAAATTAAACAGTTTTAGTCTCTTCCTCACAGACTTGCAGCTGATTGCTGAAGCTATTGCTATGCTTTCTACCTGTGGGAAATACTTGATTTTGTGCACAATTAAATTTCTCCTGCAAAGAATTGTATGCGATTTGCAGTGAATTTTACTTTACCGCTACTTATGGCTCAGTTGGCATGGGGAAGATAAAGTTTAATGGGTTAGATTTGATCTAAAGGCCTTGGGTCCTTTTTAAGGAGAAAAGAAAGGTAAAAGTAAGATACAGAAATGGTGTTGCTATTATTATTCTTAAGCTGTTCATAATGACCCTGTGATTCAATGGCCCCCAAATGAACGTGGAGAGAACATTATTTCTAACTACTGGGAAGTTTGTCATAGAAGATGACATAATGGGAAACCCATCACTAACCCTCACCTCTTCTTTTTAAGCCACTTTCCTTTGGCATGTGAGAACGCCCTTGAAGAGGGATCCCCATCCCTGTGGATATGGTGCCCCCCCCCCAGCCATTGCTTCTGGATTTATCTGAGAGGCCTGCTTTCATGAACATGAGCAGGAAGCCAGACACAGCAGTGTGGAGGGAAAATGCATAGGGGAGAGAACTCCGCCGTAGTCATGGGACTCATTTTCATCTTGCCAAACAACTGAAATTTGCAAGGGGCAGTTGGCGGGGTGTCTCCTTCTTGATCCTGCTGCAAACCAGCTTCCCTCCCCAAAAAGGGATGAAAATAAAATAAAGTCTCCCTTTGCTCCACTCCCGGCTTCTTCCTGCTTCGGCACCCCAGTGACACACACGGCAGGAGATGCTTCCCTCTGCTTCCTCACACACAAAAGCCAATTTGTCATGCGACTGATGCTCTCCACCCAGGCTTTGTGCCTGGAAGGAGTTTGGTGCAATTTAATCAGCGGCCAGGTTTGCCCCCCCCCGCCGATGTTCCCCAAGGCGTCTGTTTCGCTTCTCCTGACGCACTTGGGTGAGAGGCAGAGAATGCTAATCTAGCAGCAGAGGCAGGCTTGGTGTGTCGGTGCGTGAACGATCTGGCTCCCCAGCTAAGCTCGGTTCAAGCAGGAGAGGCACTTGAGACCTCTGTGTTGGCCGAACAAGGAACGCTTCTGTTTCAATGGCAGTGGGGAGGCTAGGACTGGACTGGAGACCCAGATGAAGCTGCCCACCCCTCAGCTGAAGAAGGTGAAAGGAGCCATGCTTTCTAAGGGTCTTCAGTCCTTTTGGCTGACTGTGAGATGCCACGGCGCCCTGATGCTCTGGATATGGAGGTCCAGACCACAAGCTAAATTCTTCATTCTCCTCAGCTTCGGCCATCTTGCCTTCTCTTGTCCAGGTCCCTATAGCTTGCAGAGACTCTCTCTGTGCAGAACAACTTTCCGTTCCCTTTGAGAAGCAATGCTCATGCAGAGAAAGTAGAGGACCGCTTGCTGATGGTTTAGAGAAAGATGCAGACACCCTCAGTCCCATGCCACCCCCCCAAGCCCACGGCGGTCACAACAGATCTGGGTTATGGCCCCAGCACGGGGACGAGCCAACCTCTTCCAGGAGCTGGGACCTGCTAAGCTCACCGTAGGGGCACGGCTTGCAACAGGGCCCTGGAAAAGTGACCAAGGGCCTGGCTACAGGCCAGGGAGGTGACCCCTTTCTCACTGGAGGGAAGGGAGGTGGGGTCTGGAAGGAGGGCTCCCTGGCCAGCGGCAGCGTCAGAGGCCTCTCCCCAGGGGCAGATGCCTTGTGGGCAATCACTGGAGAAAGGGCTGGCTTGGAGCTGTCCCTGGTGCTGAATGGCCGCCTGCCTGACCAGCCCTGTCTTGTCGTCTCTCCAAACCAGCCTGGGACACCACGAGCCAGCGTTCGAGGGTCTCCAGCGGAGGAAGGGCCTTTCGGCCGTCGGTGACTTGAATTCCCCATGACTGAAAAGGCCACGGATTGCATTCCCTGTGGTTGCCACCGATGGGAACGTTTCTGCTACAAGGAGAAAGGTGTCTTTCTTTCTAGGCGAGAGCCTTCTTTAAGCAAGGCACAGGAATGTTTTTCTATGGAGCAGCTCTTCTCAGTCCAGCACAAGGATCCGGTCCTAGAACGGAAGAACCGCGGCGACGGGATGGCTTCTGTTTATGCCCTGCCTCTGAAGTTCACAAAAACCCGATCTGAGTCACTTTTCCTTTCTAGTCACCCTTACTGGGAGATCTCAAAGCGTCTCTGCTTGGTGATGAAGGCACCCATCTTCATTTCTCTCACCCTCAGACACAAGAATAAGGAACTGGGATACCTTGTTATTCAAAAGAAAGGAAGGAAATTCCCAGGGCTTTCAAAAGATTTCTCAGCCTGGCAAGGAGGCTGCTTCATACAAAACCCCAAATGCCTGCTTTTTTTGTCCAAAGCTGCCCAGTCTGGTTTATCTGGTGGTGCACGCTGCTGAACTGTGCCCCTTGCCCAAAACTAGGATGGCCTCTTGTTCATTTAAAACAGTGCCTCCCAAATTTGGGTCACCTAGATGTTCCTGGACTACAACTCCCAGAAATCTTGGCCATAACATGTAGTGGTGAAGGCTTCTGGGAGCTGTAGTCCTAGAAGAACCGAAGACCCAAGGTGAGGAACCCTTGATTCAAGACTTTGAGGCACTCAATGGTTCTTTCGGCCTCTTTCTTCCCTCTCGGCTTGCCCTCCTCCTCTTGGGCCCCGGCCCTTCCCTTTCTCTGAGGAAGGACCCCGGCCCTTCTCCTCTCGGCCCACCTTTCCAAAGCTGCCTTTCCCCAGCACCATCAGGAAGTTGAAGTCCGACAGCTTCATGCGATCCCGGCTCCCGTTATTGTCGAATTTCGAGATGGCGTTGGCGCTCCGCTCCTCTGCCACCTTTGCTCCTGGGCCAACTCTGGCTCTCTAAAAAAAAGGGGGGGAAGAAGAAAGAAAAAGATATTTTTTAAAAAAAATATTGCACCAGAGAAGGTAATTTGAGGATTTTAACCCTTTCCCCCACCAGTTCAAATGCCAAGGGCTGTACCACAAAAGCTGGCCTCCTGGATTCGAACTCAGTGCACGGACAATCGATCTACAAGCGTCTGGGGATGTTCCTTCTTTTCAGTCCAGACAAGAGGATACATGTTTGCCCCCAAAAGTCTTTGCTGCTTTTCTGCCCACACATGCCTTGATACGATTGAGAATTTAACGGTGACCCTTGATTCTTTCATAGTCTGGGGTGCCCAACGGGGTTGGTGGTGGTGGTGGTGGTGGGGGGAACCTTCTAAATTGTTTGAGAGGCTGCGGGAGCAGGAAGGCTCCCAAATGACCCCATGCCTGCGAAAGAAGTCTGGACGTACACGTATGCGCATCAGTGTCCGCAGGGATCTATCCAGCTCCTCCAGTCTAAAAGGCGTGATTGAATCCACTAGTGGCACAATTTGGACAGCGGTTTCGTCAACCTGTTTTGCACGGAAGCTACCCAATGCTTCCCTCTGATGACTTGGGAGGCCTTGTAAAAAAACAACAGGGCTTTGGCCTCACGCTCCTTCCTTGTGGCTCTGACAGGTCCCTGATTTACCGGAGTACCGTATATCGAACGACACGTGCAGCCACGTACGCATTCTCAGCCAGAGATGGCAATCTTGTAATTTATTTGCTTTAATTTCTGAAGAATATTGCTGGGGCCTGCCCAGAGCTCAGCCGAGCGTGAAATTCCATTAAGCTGATGGCTCTGCTACCGTCGGATTCGTTCTGCATACAGAAAGTTCCAAGAGCAGAAGGTGCGTGACTCCTGTTCCTTGGTCCAGCATCCTCGTGTCCTCTCGGGCTCCTGCGATCCGCACGGTGCCACACTGACCAGTTGCCATGTCTAAGCCACACACCACAGCAGGCCCTTACCTGGTGCATCACTCATGGTGCGAAGAAGCAGAAAAGGAGTGCAGGTGTCATCAACACCTGCAAACAGCACCTTTGCAGTACGGCTCCCACCGGAGTTAAATAATTTTTACCAGCCCCATCAATCCATAACAGAGGGAAGGAAGCCTTGGTGTGTTTGATGGATTTAGTTCTGGGTAAGCAGAAGGATCGTTGCTCTGCTTACACAAAGGGTAAGCAAAGAAGACTCCCCAGAAAAGACCCTGATGTTGGGAAAGTGTGAGGGCAAGAGGAGAAGGGGACGAAAGAGGACGAGATGGTTGGACAGCATCACCGAAGCGACCAACATGACTTTGACACAACTCCGGGAGGCAGTGGAAGACAGGAGGGCCTGGCGTGCTCTGGTCCAAGGGGTCACAAAGAGTCGGACAGGACTACACGACTAAACAATAACAGCAAGCAGAAGGATCCTCTCCCACCCCAACCTCTTTTGGGGGCAACAAAAAGTAGATCTCATCTTGTGTTCACTTGGGCTGAAATTGAAATGCATGAAAAGGGACCCCCCCCCAAAGGGAGGAAAAATAAGACTTCAGGATCACACTGGGTCATAAGGCCAGAATTCAAAAACTCAGGATACTTTCGCACATCACTTGGACAGCATTTAGACAAGGGCCAGGGGTCCTGCGCCAACCAGGGCTATAGCCTCTTTTTTTTTGACCTTGCACGCCAACGTTGCCCACCTCCCTTACAAAACAAAATGGGAAGGGTTTAGAAGATCACCACAGGATTCCTTCCTAGGGCTTGGTTTCTGTTCCAATTATCTCAGTATCTCCCAGATCTCTGTTAATTAGAGTAATTTACAGCTGCACGGGGCACCGATAAAACAGATTAACAAATCCTATTATTGACGTAAATCCTCGTGGCTTCTGAGTTCACTCTTTTTTGCATGGCTCCAGTGCGTGGATGCAACAGGTCTGTCAGACAATGTTTAGAAGGAGCCACTTCCATCCACACTGGGCTCTGGCTTGCTAGGGCCTCCGCCCTCACGGAGGAAACCCAGCAGCGACAGAAAGGGCTTCGTTTGGACAGGTGACATCCGTGGGCTGGCCAGGGCTGAGTCCAGCGCATGGACTGCCATTCCTTCAGGGCCCCTTCACTGACGGGGCACCCATGGCTGACGAATGCTCCAAAAGAGACGCTGCACCCAAAGTGTCTCATGCATTAACAATAAAATTGGGACCTTTATGTTCCTGGGAGAATAAACCGACAAGAGGCACCTAAAGGATCATGCATTTGAAAGGCTTCCTCCGTACTTTCATTTTGAGACATCTGGATGGATTCCTCTGTCTTAACACAAAAGCAATTTCAGGCCAGAAGGAAGACCAGGAAAACTGACATGGCGAGGATGGCCACGGCTGCTCACCACGACAAGAGGCACCTAAAGGATCATGCATTTTAAAGGCCTCCTCTGTACTTTCATTCTGAGACATCTGGATGGATTCCTTCATCTTAACACAAAGGCAATAATTTCAACATAATTTCAGGCCAGAATGAAGACCAGGAAAACTGACATGGCAAGGATGGCCACGGTTGCTCACCATGGGGAGGGAGAGGCCCTTCGGAAGGGAGACTCACCTCAAACTTCTGCCTGAGCTCCTCGTTGCCCTCCTCGCCTTCAGGGGGGACCGGGACGTTGAAGTACTCGCCCTCTTCCTGGCTCAGCAGCTTGAACCTAGAAAGAAGGGTGCCAGTGAGCCAGAACTGGTTGGAGAGGATCCACTGGGGAAATGACAGCCAAGGCCGCTCGGGGACCAAGGCAGTGGGTTCAAGAAGACCTTTGCTCCTCCTGGGCCATCGAAACAGTGCCTGGGAGGACCACTGAGTCACGGGGCAGGCAGCCCCCAATTCTGCTCTACGGATTTTACATATTTGTTTTAAAGACACTTTTAAAGTATAAATGATCAGCAAAGACTAGCAATGAAGTACACTAAAAGCTGGCAGGGAGGGAGGGAGGAAGGGAGGAAGGAAGGAAGGGGACAAGCAAGCTTGAGGTTCTGGAAAGGTTCTGTAAGCTTGAGGTCCTGTAGGCTGGGGATGATCACTCTCATCTTTGCATATGCTCGTGGGATCACAGGCGGTCTACTATGATCTTTTCAGGACTAGCCAATGGAATGGATCAAAACCCAGACCTGAGGTTTTCCCCAACCTCCTCTTTGGCCTCCTGGTTCAAACTCTGCTCACATGGGTGACACAGAGAGCCTCTCCAGAGTCACCTGACCCCAGCACCAAATGCAGAATTCACCTGCTCCATGTTGGCACAGATCTGCTTTGCGCTTGGAAAATACTGGAGCCCTTTCTCTCCCACTCCCTGAGCCGGAACCGAGAACAAGGGGAGCTTCATGCCGAGCATGGCAGCCTCTGTGTGAGGTCTGGCCAACCTGGCAGCGATGAAAATGCACCTCCAGAGAGGTTACCGTGCGATCACCTCCCAAGGCAAGACCTTCTGGCCTCCCTATTCAGACATGTGTGCGTGCGCACAGAGGGCGAGGGGAAACACCAGGACAGCAGCACCTGAAGCGCCAAGACTGAGGAAGTCCAGGCAGGTTGGGCCCCCCGAATCTTTTCCAGAAGGGCAGACGGGATGGATCAGCACAAAGGCTCTCAGAAGGAGAAGGCAGGGGAAGAGAGGAAGGCAAGGAACCAGCCCTCCCGGGGAGAGCATGACGGCCCTGTCCTTCAGATCTGAAGCCGGTTCTCGCGCTGTCGGGGGAGCTCCGATTCTGTCAAGCAGATGATCTCTTCCGTGGAGAGGAGCGATTCATCAGGGGGACAGGATCCGCCAGCGCCGGCATGCCTGGGCGCCGGCGGAAGGGAGGCACAGAGGGAGATTTACATAAGGTGGGCAGGCAGGAGGGCCCTGCCATCCTCTCGGTCTGTTCCCCCCCCCATTTACGCGGGCTCAGAGGAGATGAAAAACGCACAGAAGCAATTCCCCTCCCCGAGTTTATTTTAGCCAAACGCCATGACAAGGAAAATTACTCAGATCTCCACTTAGCGGCTTCTTGGAAATGCAGCAAGGAGCTGTTTATCATATTTTACATGCTTCTTAATGCGCGCTGCTCTGCCTGACAGGACCAAGCTCCTCGAGACACTCCCCACAGGTGGCTGTGGAAGCGTACAGGAAGTCAGCATTTTGTTTTCCCTGCAGGGGGTGGGTGGGTGGGTGGGGTGGGGAGAAGGGTGGATGGCTCGCACTCACTTGGCCAAAGTCAGAAGAGGCAGGTGGGCCTCTCTAGCCCTAACCCTGCCAGGCCCATTCTGGCTTATGGCAACTCCTTCCAGGGTGGTCTGGGCAGACAATACTCAGCCGTGGTTTCCCCTTCCCTTCTTATTTGGGGGTGCTTCGGGAGCACGGTGCAGCTGGCCCCCCAGGACCCCCCAGAGTAGGCTTCTGTGCCCATTCCTGATTCTGCCATCTCTCCCAAGAACTGGGCAAAGCAGACAGCATCTACAGAAGTGAAACCAAGGTGTTTCTCTCCTCCTGACCCCCCTCCGGATTGCTGACATCTTGCAATAAGATCTGCTTCGTGTCTCTTTTTCCACCAAGCGAGCCTCCTGAGGGCCTCTGCTCTTTTAGCCTTGCTTTCATTTCCCTGGAGGGGTGAAGGAGGGCTGCTCCCCCCCCCGCAAGAGGCACAAGGACATCTTACCAGCCATCCACGCCTGCTTTCAGCAGCTCCGAAATCCCAAAGGACAGGGACCCCATAAAATCATTCCTGCTGGTGAGATCCCAGTCCCAAATCTCGACCGACAATCTTCTGTCTTTGTCAGATTCCTTCAGCTGGCTGGGGAGAAGGAAGCAGAGGAGAAAACAAAGACGGTGAAGAAGGGGATGGTTCTGAAGGGACTTCCTTGCATTTCCTGGGGGGTGGGTG